AAAAAATTGAAATTCATCAGTCTCCGCATGGTTGCGTTTGCAATTCTGATTACTTTTAGTTGATGGGAGATGTCTTTCTTCCTGTTAATAGTTGGATACCTTTTAAGTCTTACGCAGTCACACTGGCAGATCTAAGAAAGGGGGGCACGGGGATCCGCCGCCTTTCCCCCCCCCCTATTTTGGGTAGAAAAAATAAACGCAGAGGGTAGAAGAAGGCCGGCAGGTGGACACATGAATAAAAAGCCCCCACCCCCTTCCCCTTAGCTTAAGATGTGGATCCGCCACTCAGTCATGTATATTTTCTTTAGGAATGAACACTGAGGACTACAAGTACAAGTGGGGCGGAGAGGACTGGGACTTACTAGACCGTGTTATTAATGCTGAGCTAAAAGTCGTTCGAATAAAGCATGCGGGTCTATATCATCATTATCATACGAAACACAAGTCTTGGAACTAACGAGTCCAACACAGAAAATTCCCCTTACTGCTGTCGAGGACTGGAGTAGATATATATTGTTGACAATCGATGTTCCGTTAACCGTTATGAACGCACGCGTTCGATCTGCTCGAACGGCGCGCCGGGCGGGAGCCAAGGAGACTGGGTCCACCACACGAAATCGAGACTTGTTAGAGAACTTTCCAGCGAAAAAATGACGAGAAGACCTTTTTCTTTTGTTCCGCAACTAGGAGGAGCACTGGTGCTTTCTCCAGCTGGTTGATTTGCATGTGTTCGTTAATTCTACAATATCTTTAACAATGTTTCAGAATCTCAAGGGAGATATCTGGAATGTTTATGTTTTATAGTTTTCGGGCTAACAAACACAGAACTAAAGTTATTATCTCATAGCATGATTTGGTTTAGATCTGGTCTTTGCCATGAGATAAAATAAATTTAAAGGTACCTCCATTGAATATGTTTAAAAAACTTTTTAGTGCGATGTCACCGCGATAATGTGAACTAAAAGCAAGAACTACTTTTCCAATGCATATTAGGTGAGGTTTAGTTTCCTTGCCAATCAGCGAAAAACAAAAAAATTCAGTCATATGTCGAGGACACAATCGTTTTCACAACCTCGTTCTCCAGAAAGCGAGAAGAAGAAAGATCTGT